GATGCGGTTTTATAACGAATATTCAATTTTTCATAAACAAGACAGCAACCGAGGGCCAAACTAGATGTTCGCTGCAGTCATCGTGCTATTTTTAAGCCCTGTTGACGCAGGCATCTTGGAAGAGAGCCTTCAGGGTCAACACATTCGATACCGGTTTGTAATTTTCAATGATAACCCGTCCTTTTAGGTTTTGATTATTTTTCCCACATTAAATCGTCCTAAGGAAAATGAAAAAGCGGAAGTTATCATCAACTAGTGCAATGTAATTTGTCAAATATTGCAGTGAACAAACTGTTTATTTTTTGTGCTAGGGATCATCAGTAAGGTCGCTTTAAATTGAAGTCCTATTTTATTGCTGCTTTATTTGGAAATGGAGGGCTTCCAAAAGATTCAAAACAACAGTAAATGCCACATTTCCTTGCAATGTTGGTCCTGGCCCGATCCTTTTTTCTTTTATCAAGTTTGATAACTAGTTCAAACTATCCAAAAGATTGTCATACCATATTTATTACGGACTTGTTGAAAATAAAAATGACCATGGTAAAGTTCCAAAGTAGTGAAACATTTCTATCTCTTAAAACGTTTCAGTCGGCCTTTTTAAGGGAAACACATATTTTACAGAGTAAACGCATTAATAATTCAAACCATTAAGTACATAATAATTAATAAAAAATAAAAATCAATCAAGATAATTACAAATAGGTAATTAATTAGAAAACACAAAAAAAATCAACTAAATTTTAAATAAATAATGACAATAAATAAAATAAATTAACAATTCTTTCCTTAAAGCAAAATCAATAAGGGTTATTGAGAGGTGGGGAGGAGGGACATACCCTGGAGGTCCTGGCGCTGCTCGACCGTTAGGGGCGTCCATGGTCTCTCTGGCTAGCGTGAGCCTCAGGCATTACAGACTATGGACGCCTCTGGGATAAGGACTTCATCAAATGTTACTTCACCTCGTTATATTGTACAGGCCAAATCCAAGTTAGGAAGAGAGGGATCGGGATGCCGGACTAGGGCGTTTGGGGTTTCTGGAGGTTTTTGGTCCCAAACCAATTAGTCAGCTCCTCGATAAATATATGGCCACCAATCAGCTCATCACTGAAAGCAAAACAAGGCTGGAAAAGGTCAATCTCCTAAAACTTTTCAGTTGACCTTGTTGGCGAAAACCCATTCGGACAACATTTGAAATCTGGGATGAAAGACTGGTTGCTTTTCTGGGTCTTTGATAGATACAAGCTAATAAGCTAAAATGCCCTAAAGCGTTACGAACCAGTTTCATTTAGAAGTCGTTGAAAATTTCGCCTTGGAAAATTACAAAACTGCTGAACAAATTCTATCTCTTAAAACTTCTCAATTGGACTTTTTAGAAAAAACAAAACATTCTCAACTTATCTTTTTCTGGATTGAAAGAGAAGTTGAAAGTTTGTGGATAAATAATACAAGCTAATCGGCTACTACTGTCCTAACATATTGTATACCGATTTTATCTAGACGTTATTGAAAAATTTGTCCTTGGAAAAGTTCTAAACTGTTGAAAAAGTTCAATGTCTTTAAACTTTTCAACTTACCTTGTGGGGAAAAAACATTCTTAATATATCTGGTCTCTAGGATGGTAGCATAGCTGTTTTGCGAGGTTTATGAGAAATAATACAAACTAATAAGCTAAGCCTGTCCTAAAATATTGTAAACCAGCTTTATCTTGAAGTTGTTGAAAAATATGCTCTTGGAAAGTCCTAAACTACTAAAAAGTCCAATTTGTTAAGACGTTTCAATTGACCTTGTTGGAAAAACCCATTCGCAACATATCTGGTTTCTGGGATGGAAGCGTGGTTGTTTTGGGAGGTTTGTGAGAAATAATACGATCTAATACACGAAAACTGTCCTAAAATATTACAAACCAATTTTTATATAGAAGTTGTGGAAAAATGTGGCCTTGTTAAATGTTTAAAATGCTGAAAAATTTCAATCGCTCAAAAGGTCAGTGCGTAAGCTGTGAATGTAAACCTTTTTTGCGGGTGACAGAAAAATATGCAATTTTGAGATCTTATAAGAACACGACAAACCGCACAGACAAAACACCGAAGAAATACCAAAAAACACCGTGACCATGCTGACCAGAATAATCCCAGACGACTAGGTTCATAATCCGCATATAAAAACAAATTTCACTATGTTTTTCGCAACGTTTCAATTTCAATTGTTAGCAACGCGCGCCCCTTCGGAGAAAACGAACGTGTTTTATAAAACTCTCGAGAAAACTACAAGCCTTGGCAATTATCCATTTTAACTCGTTTCTCGACAAGTTTCTCCGACCGAAGATTGTATCGTCCTCGGAACGACAATATTTAAAAAACTGGTCATATTATCATTGAAAAATGAAGAAATGCAAAGAAATGAAATATTTAGGCTTAATTTATTATATAATTGGACCTAATTTCGTGCTGTAGCAAGATAATGACTTTAAACATTACACTGGGCTTTCACCATGCCTCTGGGGAAAGGAATCGGATGCCAATTAATTTTAAACGTAATCCCGTCTAAGAGCTTTATCAGTTGTGCGTAATGGCAATTGAGGCTAACCATTTTGACCTTTACAGATAATGGATTAATAAGGATTAATGAACTTTTTAAAAATTTGATAGAGAAAATCTTTCAACAGTCGGCCAAGGAAGTTGGCTAGTAGAAGGCTAGTGTGAATTTAAAGGGGCAAAAATAGTTTTTTTTTTTAAATTAACACGAGATTTAATAGCTTTGACATTTGATTTTTTTTTTTTTTTGGACAATGGACTTGGTTCACGGTCACAATGAGGGCACAATTTCTCGCCGAGGTCGGTTCTAGAAGAATAATGGAAACACTCATTGTTTACGAAGGGGGGTGCTCTGAGTGTCAAAGGACGGCCGTGTGACAGGGTGAAAAACGGCCCCGCCTTGGTAAAAGTACGGGTTAAGCATTCGGATTATTTTAGTTTCGAGGTCCGCGACAGGCAGAACGACGTGAATAATAGTCGTATTTTTGCCGGGGGGCGATCGATGGCCCCTGTCATCCCGACGTGGAGAAGGCGTATAATGAGAAAGGCACGATTTACGGATTCCGCATTAATGCGACACCCCGCGGGGGATGACATTCATCGAGGTGTTTTGACCTTTGGAAACCTTCAAAACCCCCTAAGGTCAACGCATTGACGACCTGCCTATTACTGAGCGGGACAGCAAGTGCAATCTGTAGATTACTGGCCGTAAATACGGATTTACGTAATTCATTTCTAGAGCTCTTTATGTCAGTAGATGAAGCCTAGACCTATCTGATAAAAAGAGAAACAGCGATATAGACGGAACCAAAGATCAATAATTATCGAAAGATTGACGCGAGATAGCTCGAATTTGACCTTTTTTCTCATTTTGTCAATGTCGACCCAAACTGCACGAACATTTTTGCCTGTAACGAACAAAACCTTTGGAAATGCAGATAAAACTGTTCTTTTATTGTAGCGCTGAACCAGGTAGTAGAAACAATTAGTAAATGTGATATTATAACTAATTATTGGAAAGAGGAGGATCTAGTTTGTTTGTATAGCTTCATACCGGTATTTTTCTCGCTGGTTTTGTCCTCCATTAGAAGAACGAACAATCGCACAGACGAGTCATTGAACAAGCTGACCAAGGTTGATCGTCCAGCCTCCAGTTTATTCCTTTTAGATAATCCTGGACTGCTGGTTTTGTCAGACCAGTTTTAACAATTCGCTTTATTCATGCAGGCAAAATCGTACAGACGAATCATTGAACTCATCTGACAGACTAACCAGAACACCAGCGAGAACAAGCACTCTAGATCTCCTATTACAGGATGTTGTCGTTCAGGAATATACGGCCAGTTTATTACTTTTAGATAATCCGGTATGCCTATTGTTGCTGGCTAGGTTAGACCATTTTAATCATTTCGCCGTCGTAATTCATGCAGAATCGCACAGACGAATTATTGATCGTATGGCTAATCACTATCTCTTTGAAAGTGTCCAAGGTTCACGTAATATACCACTAGTTTTTTCTGTTTGTACAGACTGGTTACCGCATTTCGCCATTTATATCCATGCCATGCACGAAGAATTGCACAGACAAACAGCAACTTAGTTCTTAAAAATGTACCTCGTAACTTGCCTGGTAACTAGCAATAAATTATGCTTAAGACTAATGACAGAAAATTATTTAAACGTTTAACATCTGGTTCACTTCATCATATTTTAACTATTTAAGATGAACTGGAATATTATTGTTTACATTTTCAATGCATATTTAAATGGTAAAGATTGCCAAATCCCTTCTGGGAACCGGTTCAAAAGGATTCGGTAAGTCTCCATTGAGGAAAAACCACCCTTCATCGGCCATGTGGGGTTGGGCGGAGGAAGGGTTTCAGGTGGTAAATAAGTGCCTCAGGTCAGGTATTTGGCCTTGGGAACGTTCCCAATTTTTCCGAGGGGGACGACAAAAACTCCCGGGGTCTGCGAACAAAGGGAGCTGACCCTTTTCAAAAGCCGGTTTGATTTTTCCTCCTGGCCGAGTGGGGCGAAAACGGGCGGTCCGTCAGCAAACAGCATTTAACATGAGATTCCGCGAATAATCCGCAATAACTGGTTCAAAATGGTACGGTTTTTTTCCATTTCGCGACGCTATAATGAAATAAAAAAAATACAATTCGGAAAAAGGCCATCGGTTCCCCGGTTCGATACTCCCACGTGGCCTTTTCCGCTTGATTATCCCCATCACGGCTCCACTTTCCCTTGAAATTCCAGGTCCTCTCATTCCCATTTCGTTGAGTGTAATAATCAAACATCCCTTGAATTGAACAATAACGCCTACGTTAAACTGTTAACGATTACGTTAACATATTTTATCTTTATATCCATCCTCACGGTGACCATAGGACAAAAAAATAACAACTTCAAAGATAAACATGTTGATTTGATCAAATACCCAGTTGAAAATTTGCATTTTCTTACCTCGGAGACTTTCCTTTGGGTCGGTGGAGGGGTCGTGCTCAGAGCGCTTGAACGCGATCCAGAACGCTCATCGCCACTTCCTGCTGATCTTAGCGAGCTTACTCCAGAGTCTGATCTGTCATCGCGAAGAAGTCCTCCTCCCACTGTGTCCTCCATCCTGGAAAAATAAAAATAAAACATTAGCCCATACGGAATGAAATTCTGAGGATTCTGCTGGATGATAATTTAAGTCTATTTAAGTTTCCGATCATTTTTTTAGTTTTATCTAGGTTAGTATGGCTTTCATATGGACAAACCCACTACTGAAAATGGCGCAAAGATGAAAAGCATTGACAGATCAATATGACCAAAAATGACAAAATTACTAATATCTGTTTAATAAAATAATTTTCGTCTACCAATATTCGCTGTTTTGGTTTGTCAGGCCCACCACTGATGATGGCGAAAAGGCGAAAGGATTATCACAAAACCAAAACAGGAAGGATTGGTAGTTCGAAATGATCGGTAACGAGCACAGGTTCATCAACCCGCAGATCATACTCCCAAAATTTATTTAATATTATCCAGATGACGGCAAAAAAAGGAAATAAATCGTATAATATTATTAAATATATATAATCAAACTTAGTCTTCAGATAAAGGTCGAACGGTTGAACAATCAAGGTTATCCCGTTCAGCGAGATCATGAAATTAGAGATAACGAAAAAGTTAGGACTAAAGCTATTACTGTCTTCTTAAAGAAAAACAAATTTTTTCCTCGTTACGATGGATCAGACCACCGATTTGCAATAGCCTTAGGTGTTAAATAACTGATATATAAAAAGCTGATCATCAAAGTGTGGCAAATTGGCTAGATTCCTAAACTACTGATTAATGAGCGAATTGAAAAGGAGGGATGGAAACAGAGAGTCAAAGAACGGGGAAAGCGTGCAAATCGAGAAAAATCCATCAGATGGAAAACAGGAAAAAAACAACAAGGAGACAATCTTTACACAAGACTTGAAACAACAATTTTGTCGATAGAATACAATAAACTAAATATTGTTTGTCTTGATAACAAAAACAACAAATTAGGTTAACAATTAAAAATAAATAAAACACATTAGAAACAAAAAACAGAAATAATCTAAATATGTTAAAGGCTGGGCATTTCAATCAATTCCGCTCGAAATGTTTATTTATACATAATTTCTCATTTTCCAGTCGATCAACAAACAATCCAATCTACGCAAAATTGCCAGGGTTAATCTAAATCCACATAACAGACAGAATGTACTTTAATCACAAATATACTCTAATTAATACTACTAAATATATACTCTAATTAAATTTTCACTCACTCATTTGATAATGGATTTATTTATTTAAATATCCCGAAGGTGAAAACTGTTTGTAACAAGAAGGAAAACAGGGTTTATCACCACGTCGCGATCTTATCTAGATTTGTTATTAGTTCTGCCGGTTTATAGGCATTAATGAATAAAGTTAAATCGCACTGTAAACAAACATTTATCTCTTTAACGCACTGTTGTTGGATATGAAACTTTGTTCGATAAGGGCAAAATAAATACGATTTCTTTAAAACCGTACCACAAAGACGTTTTGATAAACAAACCATCAATATCCCCGGATATAATTCATAAATAACAATTCCAAACATAACAGGCTATTTAAAACCATAAATAATATCTTGTTTTTAATATTTGAACGCTTTAATCCTTTAACATTGTACACGTAAGACACTAAAAAAAAACTGTTAAAAAATTATGATTTAGTACTTTCAAGATTGCCCGAGACGTTCATTGTCATGAACAATGAAAACAGGGCGATAAACGCAACGAATTCTATCTCGAAAAATAATGTTTATCTCAACAAAATACTCGTTTTCTATTTATAAAAAAAAGGAGAAAACAATATTACACCACGATCGGCAACACCGCGTATACGGCGTTACACGAAAAGGCAGTTCGGACAGAAAGCAGACTGAGCGAGAGTAGGCGGACCGGATAACAGTTTTTGACCAAGATAACATTTTATCTCGGTTCGAAGCGCAAGCGGATTCATTTCACGAAAGTATTTACTAACAACTGAAAACATTTAATCTTCCTTCTAGAAGTTTATTTTTATTACTTTCGCGTGTGGGCGAACGTGTTTTTGAATACGCGAGTGGGTGAGTGAAAGACAGATAAATTGACGATGAAGGTCAGCCCAGGTAGAAAGAGACCACAAAAAGGTGAGAAGTAATTTTTTTTGTCTTATTACATTAGTGTGAAATGACAGAATGAAACATGTCAGTGTGTAAGTGAATGAATCTAGAATGCTTTGATTTAGATATTTTAATTTAGTTATACGTATTACTAAGTTATTGAGTACGTATGTTTTGAGGTTAGTAAGTGTCTGACTGACTGAAAGTGTGTAAGTGAATATGATTGAGGAAAATAAGTAAGTTACGCAGTATGAAAGTTTAAGTTACTTTTTAATTCTTGAGTACATACAACCAAAGATTATGTACTGTGTGTGATTGAGTTCGGCGAGTGTAAAGAGAAGTTGTTTATTTAGTGAATTAGTGTGACAAGTGTGAGTGTAAAAGAGGGCAAATTTTTTAGTAACTTGGCGAGTGGGAGTAAAAGTAAAGTATTATAACCCGTTGTGTAAGTTACTCAATATGTGTGTGTGTGTGTGTGTGTGTGTGTTTGTGTGTGCGAGTAAAAGAGTAAGTATAAGAAATATGTATCAATGAGTATTATAATTTGATAATGAGTGTGAACTCAGTGGACTAAGCGGTAAATTAGTGATTGTAGTGTACTTGTCTAAATGAATCAACGGGTGTAGGGCATAAGAGAGCTACTTCTTGAGTGATAACCGAGTATGTAAGTGAGTAAATTGCAGAGTGTGAGTGTTTGAGAATGTTAAAGAAATAGAGTGAATGATAGTATCAATGAGTAAGCTATGATATGACAGAATTAGTGGACTGGGAATGAGTGAATTTTAGTGAAACAGGGTGAATGTTCAAGTACATGATCACATGTTGTGTGAGTGTGAATTCGTTGAATATCAATAACTTATTGGGCGTTTTTGAGTAAATGAGTAAGTCAACTACTGTGAGCGCATGTGAATGAGTTAATGTTTGAGTGTACCATCGAGTACATTAGCATGTTTTAGAGACAGATTTTACAAGTTCAATGTGCCTATGTGTCAAAAAACTGTGAATTCTGATTCAGTTGATTGTGAATGAGTGTGTTATATTAAATATTATTTGGAGATCGTGAGATGCGGTCTGGTGTGAAGTAGGTTTAGAAAAACATTTTCTTTATCGTGCCAACGTTTCCATCTTTATTGAGATCATCTTCCGGGCTCAAAGTGTTTGTTTTCTGTGTAGGTGTGTTATTACTGAATGTCGTGTTGAGAGTGCAAATAATCATTAATTAATGTTCACTAAATACCACTCACACGTTATCTTAAATTTTTGAATGAAATGGTTTAACGTTCTGCAATTGATGTAGTTAAAATGTGTTTCTCCTTATTTGAATTAAGCTGTAGAATTACACCAGAATGTCTGACCATCATGTGTCCATGTTTATTGAATTTGCCTCTGGCAATTATCGAATTAATTGATGGTGTCGCTCCGGTTTATATTGAGATCTAATCAGATATTAATTACCTCCCTAACAGTTCGATTTCACGAAGATGTAAATATTAATTGGCGTGGTTTTGCAATGGGAACGAATAAAAAATAATTAATTATCTTGTATCGAAACTCGGTTTGAGGAAATAAAAAAAACCTTTCGCCTTGAAACACTAGAAAATTAATTGATGACACTTTTGATTACATTCTTTACATTTCGGGCGCCTTTTGAATTGAAGGAGTTTTGTGGGTTTTTTTACTACAATTGTTTTCTCGAGATAAAACGATACGGCTATCTATACTCAAATGTTAATTACGCCGAAAATGTTTAAATGCAATTAATTCTATCATGATATGGATATATTTGCGTAGATAGTTCCAATGACAAAAATGGTTTTGACTCACCAGAGGAGTCGGTTTCTCGAGAATTCGCCGTACATAATTACAAGAGAGAGAACAACAAGGCCACAAAAGTGAATACGTGCGTGCCCCGGGCGAAAACAACCAGACGGCTAATCCTCTCTATCATCTCTTTGTTTCCGGAAATCCGCAACCGGGTTCAAAACAATTCAGGTCCCGAAGGCTAACTCGTTTATCCTGGCGTGCCGGCGACAACTGAATTGGATATAAAATAAAAAGGGAATAATAATAAAAGTGAGAGAGAGGGAAGAGGGCGGCGGCGATAAGATAAAAGGAGACGAGCACAGATAAAGTTTAATTTCGTGAGTTTTTTCTACCTCTCCTCCCCATCCATCCTCTCATCGCAATAAACTCTTCGTGTTAATTAAAAATAGAAGATCCTTAACGGGATTATCGACTAATCCGACCCTATCCGTAAGGTTTAACTTTTTCTCATTGGGATATAATACAGTTACAGTAATTATTATTTGACTAATTAGCCTTCTACGTTTTCTAATCTCACAAATATGTACGCGCGTGGATTAAATAGGGGCGTGAGGGTAAAAATTAACGAGATGAAGAGAAAGCGCCACTAAAGCCAAAAGGTGAAAAAGTTTAAGGTCAGAGAGATACATATAGTTAGATAGAGAGCTAGAGATAGATAGACAAAAAGAGATAGAAAGAGANGAGAGAGAGAGAGAGAGAGAGAGAGAGAGAGAGAGAGAGAGAGAGAGAGAGAGAGAGTACATGGCTATATATTTTATATTTTGGTCGATTATTTGGTGACAAATAAAAACCTGATGAAGATAAGAATGAGTGTGAAAGACTGAGTAGGTGTGGTGAGAGTGAGTGTGAGAGTTTTTGTTACCCGCGAATGTAGTCGAGCTGATTGATTCTTAATACTTAATATTTTCCACTTTTGAAAACTTTTTTTATCAGAAAAAAATAAAAATTTAGGTCCGTTACATTGATAATGATAATTTTGATAGATATGATCTTACACGATCCAAAGTTGATATCTTTGGAAGGAATCTTGAATGGGTTTGACTGTGGCAAATACTTGTAAAGTGACTTTGTGATGGAATGAACAGGCAGATTTTTATTTTGTTATCCTCCCCCATCGAAAATGTCAC